GTGATAGCCGAGGCTATTTGAACCACCCCACCGCCGGCACTCGGATAGTAATCTTGGGCATAGCATTTTACCAAATCACCTCATTCTTTGGGGCACACGTGAGGAACACAAATGCGAACAAGCCTGAATGGTCCCCAGGACAATATGCAACTGAAAACTCACACCCCAGAAGTGACTCGAACCCATACTCCCAGGAGCCACGCAACTGGTATGTACAAGACGCCTTAATCCACTTGACCATCACGACCGGACATAATGAGGTGATAGCCGAGGCTATTTGAACCACCCCACCGCCGGCACTCGGATAGTAGTCTTGGGAATAGCATTTTACCAAATCACCTCATTCTTTGGGGCACACGTGAGGAACACAAATGCAAACAAGCCTGAATGGTCCCCAGGACAATATGCAACTGAAAACTCACACCCCAGAAGTGACTCGAACCCATACTCCCAGGAGCCACGCAACTGGTATGTACAAGACGCCTTAATCCACTTGACCATCACGACCGGACATAATGAGGTGATAGCCGAGGCTATTTGAACCACCCCACCGCCGGCACTCGGATAGTAATCTTGGGCATAGCATTTTACCAAATCACCTCATTCTTTGGGGCACACGTGAGGAACACAAATGCGAACAAGCCTGAATGGTCCCCAGGACAATATGCAACTGAAAACTCACACCCCAGAAGTGACTCGAACCCATACTCCCAGGAGCCACGCAACTGGTATGTACAAGACGCCATAATCCACTTGACCATCACGACAGTAATTGACAGTAATTGACAGCAGCATTGACAGTAATGCTATGCCCAAGATTACTATCCGAGTGCCGGCGGTGGGGTGGTTCAAATAGCCTCGGCTATCACCTCATTATGTCCGGTCGTGATGGTCAAGTGGATTAAGGCGTCTTGTACATACCAGTTGCGTGGCTCCTGGGAGTATGGGTTCGAGTCACTTCTGGGGTGTGAGTTTTCAGTTGCATATTGTCCTGGGGACCATTCAGGCTTGTTCGCATTTGTGTTCCTCACGTGTGCCCCAAAGAATGAGGTGATTTGGTAAAATGCTATGCCCAAGATTACTATCCGAGTGCCGGCGGTGGGGTGGTTCAAATAGCCTCGGCTATCACCTCATTATGTCCGGTCGTGATGGTCAAGTGGATTAAGGCGTCTTGTACATACCAGTTGCGTGGCTCCTGGGAGTATGGGTTCGAGTCACTTCTGGGGTGTGAGTTTTCAGTTATATATATATATATATATATATATATATATATATATATATATATATATATATATATATATATATATATATATATATATATATATATATATATATGTATGTATGTATGTTATTAAATATGACCGAAAAAGTAAGATTAATAATTCTAACACGAATTTTCTCAATATTTCTTATATTTCTTTTCACTGTTGATGGTAACTGAAAAATCAATTCTCCAAAATTCATTTTTATTTCTAGTCTGACGTGATATTTGAACGCGTTTCGTAATAACTTGTTACATTTACAAAGACCTTAGTTTACACACACAACTATAACTAAACACAGTTTAAACAGCTTCGATTTTATACCTGCATTTGGGCGAGGTCCTGAAAGATATTGTTAATAGAAACGTTATCCCTACAGACAAAAATCAGAAGATACAATTGACGATCTACTATAAAACCAAGAAAACGGCCAACCTACTCATGAGAAACTCTCCAGACACAAAGCAGAACGCTTTAAAAGAGGCCAATGTCGTCTATGCCTTCAAATGCCCACTTGGGGACTGTAAGCCTCAAAGAATTCAGTATATAGGCAAGACAACAACATCTCTTTCCAGGCGATTAACGATGCATAAGCAACAGCGCTCCATTAAGGAACATATAATCTCTTCCCACAACCAGACCATCACCAGAGAAGTCTTAACAAAAAACATGGAAATCATCGATAGATACAGCGATAGCAGGCGGCTTGAGATCTGCGAGGCACTACACAATAAGAAGTCAACACAAGCAATCAACAGCCAATTAATGCACAACTATATTCTACCCACTTGAAGACTCCGCACCAATATAGAAGCATCAAGAAATATGGGCCAATAGGCCCTTTGCAGTTACTTCCATTCTTCCCTTTAACTTACAAAATATTATACCCATTGTTTTGTGTTCTGTCTTGTGTTGAAAGTTTGTTTTCACCTCATCCAAAACTGTTGTAACATATCACCTCACCCATATGCAGGTATAAAATCGAAGCTGTTTAAACTCTGTTTAGTTATAGTTGTGTGTGTGTAAACTAAAGTCTTTGAAAATGTAACAAGTTATTACGAAACGCGTTCAAGTGTCACGTCAGACTAGAAATAAAAATGAATTTTTCAGAATTGATTTTTCAGTTACCATCAATAGTGAAAAGAAATATAAGAAATATCGAGAAAATTTGTGTTAGAATTATTAATCTTACTTTTTCGGTCATATTTAATAACATATGTCTACAGGAAAGGCTGCTACCAAAATATACTATATATATATATATATATATATATATATATATATATATATATATATATATATATATATATATATTTCATTGAATATGACCGCATATTCTGTATTTATTATTTTCTGGTTTAGGGCTTCTATCCCTCTAACTATTTTCTTAGCATCAGGGCTTAATTGAAATAGGAGTTCTCCAAAACTCATTTTCGTACTTTTAAGGTGAAGAAAAGAAGTGATTTACTATAGAGTGTATTACACTTATTTGTATAATTTGCACGACGTTTCGAACCTCCATGGTTCATTCTCAAGTGAACAGATCTTACAATACTAGTTGATTTTATACCCGCATTAGGTCAGGTGATAATACAATGAAGGTGAAAACATGGGGGGATACATAAGGGATAAACATAGGGGCTGCAGAAGGCTTATTGGCCCATACGAGGCATCTCCTATCTAAACACAAAGATTAATCCAGTGTAATTGGCCTGTTATGTTGGACATTGTCTTCTGTGTTGGCATCGATATGTTCTTGTCTTGTCCTTACTAGTAAGGACAGCCCCATTGTAGACAAAGAAGCCACAGCTTTGCTGGAGGCAGCAACAACCCCCAGTGATCGTGCACGCCTCACAGCTGTGCAGGCTCCCCATGCAGGGGACTTCCTTCTGGCAGTCCCTATGTCTGCGACAGGCACACGTCTTGATCCGCAGGAGCTCCGTATTGCAGTCGCTCTCCGCCTTGCTGCCCCTATCCACACTGTTCACAGGTGTATTTGCGGCGAGGCAGATGCTGATGAATATGGATTGCATGGCCTGCACTGTGGAAAATCGGGTGGTTGGCACACTAGACACGACGAAGTCAACGACATCATTAAAAGAAGCCTTGCCTCTGCTCAGTGTCCAGCGGAGAGAGAGCCCCGCAACCTACTGAACCGTGACTCTGTTAGCTTTGCCGGCCGACCAGACGGAATCACACTGCGTCCGTGGAAGGGTGGCAGGCAGTTAGCATGGGACTATACTTGCGTATCCACCCTGGCAACGACATACATCACCCTCTCTGCCGGCACAGCAGGAGCCGCAGCGACACACAGAGAAAAACAAAAGTCAGTCAAGTACAGGCAATTAGATCAAAGGTACAACTTCATTCCAATAGGGTCTGAGACCCTAGGCCCATGGGGTGAGAGTGCAAGAAGGTTTCTTAAGGATCTTGGTTCCAAGCTCATTGACACCACAAGAGACCCTAGAGCAGCAAGTTTTCTCTTTCAGCGCCTCAGTGTCGCGATCCAGAGGGGAAATGCCCGCTGCATCCTCGGTTCCTGCCCGGCGGCGGAGGAGTTCGAGGAAATCTAGTCTCTAGGAAGCGAACTTTTTCTTGTGTCCTCTTAATGTTCATTTTTTGTATAAAATCAGATATGTAACTGTATAACCTTGCATAATAAAGTGTACATTATATATATATATATATATATATATATATATATATATATATATATATATATATATATATATATATATATATATATATATATATGTGTGTGTGTGTGTGTGTGTAACTGAAAACTCACAGCCCAGAAGTGACTCGAACCCATACTGCCAGGAGCACTTTGCATCTGGTGTACAGGGCACCTAATCCTCTCGACCATCACGACCAGACAAAAGCTGATGGTAGCCGAGGCTATTTGCCCATCAGCCCGCCGGCACTCTGATGGTAATCTTGGATACAGATACGCAGGACTTTATCTTACAGATACACAGGACTCTATCTTACAGATACACAGGACTATCTTATAGATACACAACACTATCTTGCTACAAAAACCGTCAGTGGTTTGAAAGTGTTATACGACAAAGAGTACTCGGAAGACGGGACACTACAAGCGTAGCTCTCAGCCTGTAACTACACTTAGGTAATTACACTTAGCTATTACACTTAAGTAATTACACGCACACAAAGACAATCCAACCTCCAACTGTTATTCACAGTTGTAAAACAGTAAATTACAGATTAAGGCTAAATCCAAAAGACTTAAAGTTGACAACAAACTTTTGGAGTTTGAGGTTAACTTGTGAAGCCTTCAAAAAAAATCTCCAAAGTTTATTCGTGAAACAACATGTTGTTATATAATTTATAATTCATTGTGTTGTGGGACAGGAAGCTAGAGTGTAGTAATACTTGTTAGACTTATATCGAGCCCCCCTCCCCTCCCCATCATCAAGGTGGAATTACTGACCCCGCCCAGGATGCAACCCCACAATAAGCTGACTAACTCCTGAGTACCTACTTACTGCTAGGTGAACAGCACCATTAGGTGGTAGGAAATGTGCCCAACCATTTCCGTTCCACTAGGGAATTGAACCCAGAATTGTTGATTGTGCGTTGAGAACGAACCCGACTGTACTACCGTGTCCCCTTGATGCTTGCACAAAAGCCACAACAGACTTTAGAACACATTTCAAATTGCATACATATACATGCTATACATTCTGTTAAATAAAGCACCAATAATATGCTTACCTTCTCAGTTTGTGGGTTTATATCTGGCATATTATACTGCTGACTTGAATTGGAACTATGAGGAATCATCCCTGTTGTAGGACTTTTCTCCTGAATACTTGAAGTGAAAGTAGGACTCATCCGTGTTATACGACACATCTGAATACTTGAAGTGGAACTAGGAGGAATCATCCCTGTTCTAAGACCCATCTGCAGAATAACACATATATTAGATATTTCATGTGGATTGAATGTGTAGAGGAGCACCAAGGTGAGAGTATAGTGTGTATGGGGATAAAGTTGCCTGCATACTTTCTATAAATTTCTTTAATATATACAGGACTAGTGTTTATAACTGACATACAGGACTAGTATATATAACTGATATACAGGGCTAATGTTTATCATAGATATACAGAACTAATGTATATAACTGCCAACCACAATGACAAAATGATAGTCAGCATGAATGGCCAGCAATAGAAGAATTTAGAAGCTCTTATTTTGACCTGGACAAAATGAGTGACAGGAGTAAATGATAAAAGTTTGAATTTGATTTTCAAAAATAATATGTAATGAAGTGGGTTGGAGGGAATAAAGATGGACTTGACAATATTATACAGTCTTTGCAAGAGTAATGACATTGGACATCATCAGTTACATTGGAATCACTGTCTAAAGCAACATGTGAGCACCGGAGCATATACTGGCAAAGTGAAGGAAGAATTTATGGCTCTGGTCAGCTGATATTAGAGCCGGCAATAGCCGGAAACCTCTGAGCCAGATTCATGAAGCAGTTACGCAAACACTTACTAACCTATACATCTTTTCTCAATCTTTGGTGGCTTTGTTTATAATTATTAAACAGTTAATGAGCTCTGAAACACCAGAAGGCTGTTTATAACAATAACTAAAGTTGATTGCTAAGTTTCATGCTAGTAAACTGTTTAATAAATGTAACCAAAGCCGTCATAGATTGAGGAAAGATGTACACGTTCGTAAGTGCTTGCGTAATGGCTTCGTGAATCTGGTTCCGGACAGACCCCGCCTCGTAGTCATCTCACAAGACATGATCGGAGAAAACGATGACATCTATATAAAACCCCATAAGGGAACCCGACAGGAAATGGACACAGGAAAGGGGCCTTGTAGCCTGGTAGCCTCGTAGCATGCAGGACTCGTAATTCTGTGGCGCGGGTTCGATTCCCGCACGAGGCAGAAACAAATGGGCAAAGTTTCTTTCACCCTGAATGCCCCTGTTACCTAGCAGTAAATAGGTACCTGGGAGTTAGTCAGCTGTCACGGGCTGCTTCCTGGGGGTGGAGGCCTGGTCGAAGACCGGGCCGCGGTGACACTAAAAGCCCCGAAATCATCTCAAGATAACCACCGTTTAAACCTCTTTCAGGTCACGAACCTGAGAACAACAACACTGCCATTCACCCAGATGAAATAATAACATACAATCGCTACAGTTTTCCATCTTACTTTACACTGTGAATCAGGTAAACGGTGGTAAAGCAGAATACTTGAAGAGGAACTAGGAGCAGTCATCCTCATTTGGCCAGGATCCTGCAAAATAACATAACAAACACTTCATAATATCTATACTCCATCTATATATACACACACGGCGCTCAGGGAAGACTATCTGTGTGGGTAATAACATTCTCTCTGTATAACTGACTGAAATCTTACAGATGCACAGGACTATCTTGTAACAAAACCGTCAGTTGTTTCAAAGTGTTATACGACAAAGAGTACTCGGAAGATGGGACACTACGAGCGTAGCTCTCAGCCTGTAACTACACTTAGGTAATTACACTTAGCTATTACACTTAGGTAATTACATGCACACAAATACAATCCAACCTCCAACTGTTATTCACAGTTGTAAAACAGTAAATTACAGATTAAGGCTAAATCCAAAAGACTTAAAGTTGACAACAAACTTTTGGAGTTTGAGGTTGACTTGTGAAGCCTTCAAAAAAAGTCTCCAAAGTTTATTCGTGAAACAACATGTTGTTATGTAATTTATAATTCATTGTGTTGTGGAACAGGAAGCTAGAGTGTAGTAATACTTGTTAGACTTATATCGAGCCCCCCTCCCCTCCCCATCATCAAGGTGGAATTACTGACCCCGCCCAGGATGCAACCCCACAATAAGCTGACTAACTTCTGAGTACCTACTTACTGCTAGGTGAACAGCGCCATTAGGTGATATGAAATGTGCCCAACCATTTCAGTCACGCCCAGGATTCTAACCCAGAATTCTTGATTGTGCGTCGAGAACAAACCCGACTGTACTGCAGAGACCCTTTATGCTAGTTATAACACCAAAGCTTGCACGAAAGCCACAACAGACTTTTAAACACAGTTCAAATTGTATACATATACATGCTATACATTCTGTTAAAAAAACACCACCAATAATATGCTTACATTCTCAGGTTGTGGGTTTATATCTGGCATATTATACTGCTGACTTGAAGTGGAACTAGGAGGAATCATCCCTGTTGTAGGACTCATCTGCTGAATACTTGAAGTGGAACTAGGAGGACTCATCCCTGTTGTGGGACTCATCTGCTGAATACTTGAAGTGGAACTAGAAGGAATCATCCTTGTTCCAAAACCCTTCTGAAGAATAACACACGTTACTTATTTCATGTGGATTGAATGAGTAGAGGAGCACCAAGGTGAGAGTATAGTGTGTATGGGGGATAAAGTTGTCTATATACCCTCGATAAATTTATTTGTGATACTCAGGACTAGTGTTTATAGCTGAGATACACAGGACTAGTGTTTATAGCTGAGATACACAGAACTAGTGAATATAAATGAGATAAACAGGACTAGTAGATATAACTGAGATATACAGGACTAGTGTATATCACAGCCAACCACAATGACAAAATGATAGTCAGCATGGAGTCGCGCCCTGGTTACCGTGGCGCGAGGTCGTTTCACCTGACCTCTCCAGTTGTTGCAGTGTGTCATTGCCTGGTGCTGGCTGTGTGAGGGAGATCGTTGTTTGGTGAGTCGGGGGCATGAGGACCTCCGCCTTACCCACTGTTCACCGGAGTGAAACGATTGGGCTTGAATTTTTTGGCCGAGCGTTATACCCTGCACTTGAGAATGTGTTGCGGGATATGCCACGAGTTTGTGTGGCCGACGTGTACAGACTTCAGTTGTTAATGACCCACCGGGCACTCGTGAAGTTTCGCTCTGCGGCAGTTTATAATTATTTCATGACAAGCTATGACGGGTGGACATTGATGCTCACTGGGGACTGTGGTACCATAACTGTTTCGTACCGCTGTTGTGCTGTAACGTACGTGGCGCTGCAATGTGTGCCTTTTGAATTCTCCAAGGCCCTGCTTTGGAGGTATTTTTGCCAGTTTGGAACGGTGGTTTCCCTCCGAATGAACTCCATCTCTTCCGGCAGGTGGCGTGGGGTCTCCTGTGGTACTCGGACTCTCGCCTTGAGACTCAAGTCCCCAGTTCCCTCCACAGTTACCCTGATGGGGTACACTTTGCGGGTTTTCTATGCAGGGCAGCCACGCTCCTGTTTTCGTTGTGGCCTTGAGGGGCACCTGGCAGCCGCTCACACTGGGGTCGCGGCTGCACCTGTTAATCTGTTCCGAGAAGAGGATTTTCCTCCGTTAATGGTGCAGGATCTTTCACTTCGTGATGGAGCAGGTGGGGAATTTCCCCTGCTGCCTGCTGACCCGGTGGTGGTGGTCCCAGGTTCCTCGGCTGCTGGCCCGGCGTGTTTGGATGGTGGTGTCCATGACGAGGTGGTGGTGTGTGCAGCTCTGTCCTCGCGGTCTGTCTTTTTGCTTCCGACAGCATCTGCACCTGTTCCAGCCTCTGCTCCTCTTTCGCCTACGCCATCCCTGCAGATACCCCACACTTGTGGTGCTCCCTCCTCCACTGGCCGTACCTGTTATTTCGCCTGTCTCCTCTGTGAGTTGCGGTTTCGTTCCCCGTGTCGTTGAGGATGAAATACTGCAGGGTCGTGCTCCCCCGGTTATGGGGCAGCCTGCCACTGGCTCTTCTTGGGTGCCTTCTGCAGGGGGTGACAGCTCCGATGACCAACGGCTAGTCCACAAGCATTCACGTACGGATACGGGGGCTTCGCCTCCTCGTACGTTGGCAGAGGAATGTGAGGATGCAGCATGTGTTGATGATTCTTCTACGAGCTGTTCCTCTGTGGAATGCGAAGATGGTGCATCTGGTGCTGGTGTGGTTTTGGTGGATGGTGTGGGCTCTGGTGTGGCTTCTGCTGTAGGGGTGGGGACCGGTGTGGGGCCTGTGGCTCCTGATTTGGGTGTGTCGCCCACGTCATATTGTTCCGGTTCCTCGTGGGAGGTGGTTCCCCCTTGTGAGGTTGAGAGTGAGCGTGGCGACCTAGTGGTGGTGGTGCTAAAGAAAACTGCTCGCTCTGAGAGTTCCGTGCCCTCTCCCCCATCCCCTGTTTCGTCGGCGGCGGTTCTACCACCCCTCCCGTCTACGGCCGTTTCTTCTGTGCCCCTGCTTTATCAGGGGCGGTGTTGCTGCCTCAGCAGCCTCTCCCCGCTGTTCCTGTATCTTCTGCTTCCTTTGTGGTGGTGTTCCTGCCTCACCTGACTAGGTCTTCGTTTTCGGTGTCCTCTGGTTGGGGGCGGTCGCTTCCACCAGATTTGGTGGTCCCTGAGTTGATGACGTACCCGTGGTGTCGTGAGGGGCCGTTCCCCTACTGAACCGGAGTATTTGATATGGGAGGTTTATAAGCGGAAGTGTCCGTTGTGGCGGTTCCCTGAGAAATATCCTCCTCGATGATTGCTGTGTGTGTGTAATGTTGCTTGCACATGGGTGCGTGCTTGTGAAGTGGGTTTGCATGTGGGTGTCTGGGTCGGGCGGGGGTTTGTTTTCCGGTTCCTGCGTGTTCCGGTTTTTTGTTTGTGGGTTTGCTTGTGTGGGGTTTGCGTGTGTGTCCGTGTCTTTCTGTTTATGTTCTGTGTGGTTGGGTGTGGTTTTATACTTCCTGCTCTGTGTGTCTTTTGTTTGGTTGGTTGCACTGTTGTGCTGCTGTATTTGTGTGTTTGGAGTGGTGATTGATTATTTTATGTACTGGTGTTCTTCTAACCTTATGTCGTTTGCGTGTTTTTTTTTTTACTTTTTTTTTTACTTTTTTTTTTTGTACTTTCGGTTCCCTGTGTGGCTCTGTTTTCTGTTATTGATGCTTTGTGTTTCTAGTACTGGTTATGTGTTCTGTTCTGATTTCTGTTCTGTATTTTGTGCCCGTGTAGGGGTTTGTTGTATGCTTTGTATCATGTGTATTTCACTTTTGGTTCTTCTTGTGTTTAGGTTCTTTTCATGTTGAATTACTGTATTCTGTGTATCCTGTATGTACTTTTGTTTTTATTTTTATGTGGTTTTCTGTTTGTACATTGTGGTTTCTTTTATAAATAAAAAAAGTGATAGTCAGCATGAATGGCCAGCAATGGGTGAATTTAGAAACTCTTATTTTGACCAGGACAAAATGAGTGATAGGAGTATATGATAAATGTTCGAATTTGATTTTCCAAAAATTATATGTTATGAAGTGGGTTGGATGAAATGAAGATGGACAATATTATACAGTCTTTGCAAGAGTAATGACATCAGACACGAACAGTTACAGTGGAATCACTGTCTAAAGCAACACGTGAGCACCGAAGCATATACTGGCAAAGTGAAGGAAGTATTTCCAGCACTGATCAGCTGATATTAGAGCCAGCTGAAGCCGGAAACCCCTGAGCCAGATTCACGAAGCAGCTACGCAAGCACTTACTAACCTGTGCATCTTTTCGCAATCTTTGGTGGCTTTGTTTACAATTCTTAAACAGTTAATGAGTTCCAAAGCACCAGGAGGCTGTTTATAACAATAACAACAGATGATTGGCAAGTTTTCATGCTTGTAAACAATTTAATAAATGTAACCAAAGCCGTCAAAGATTGAGGAAAGATGTACACGTTAGTAGGTGTTTGGGTAACTGCTTCGTAAATCGGGCCCCACTGGACAGGACCCGCCACGTAGTCATCTCACAAGACATGATTTGAGGAAACGATGACATATATATAAAACCCCATAAGGGAACCCGATAGGAAATGATGGGCACCGTTTAAACCTTTTTCAGGTCACGAACTTGAGAACAACAACACTGCCATTCACCCAGATGAAATAATAACATACAATCGCTACAGTTTTCTTACTTACGTTACATTGAAAAGAAGGCATATGGCAGTACTGCAGATAACTTGAAGAGGAACTAGGAGCAGCCATCCTCATTTGGCCAGGACCCTGCAAAATAACATAACAAACACTTCATAATGCCTGTACTCCTTCTATATATACACACGACGCTAAGAGAAGACTATCTGTGGGGGTAATAACATTCTCTCTGTATAGCTGACTGAAATCTTACATGTTCACAGGATTCTATCGTACAGATACACAGGACTCTATCTTACAGATACACAGGACTATCTTACAGATACACAGGACTATCTTACAAATACACAAGACTAACTTACAGGTACCTGCTTGATAATCCTGTTTGATGGGGGTTCTGGGAGTTCTTCTACTCCCTAAGCCCGGCCCGAGGCCAGACTTGACTTGTGAGAGTTTGGTCCACAAGGCTGTTGCTTGGAGCGGCCCTCAGGCCCACATACCCATCACAGCCCGGTTGGTCCGGCACTCCTTGAAGAAAACAATCTAGTTTCCTCTTAAAGATGTCCACGGTTGTTCCAGCAATATTTCTGATGTTCACTGGTAGGACGTTGAACAACCGAGGACCTCTGATATTCATACAATGTTCTCTGATTGTGCCCATGGCACCTCTGCTCTTCACTGGTTCTATTCTGCATTTTCTTCCATGTCGTTCACTCCAGTACGTTGTTATTTTACTGTGACGATTTGGCCCTGTCCCTCCAGTATTTTCCATGTGTATATTATTTGGTATCTCTCTTGTCTCCTTTTTAGTGAGAGCTTTTGGAGAGCTTTGAGACGATCCCAATAATTTAGGTGCTTTATCTCGTCTATGCGTGCCGTATATGTTCTTTGTATTCCCTCTATTTCAGCAATCTCTCCTGCTCTGAAGGGGGAAGTGAGTACTGAGCAGTACTGAAGACGAGACAACACAAGTGATTTGAAGAGTACAACCATTGTAATGGGATCTCTGGACTTGAAGGTTCTCGTAATCCATCCTATCATTTTTCTGGCTGACGCAATACTTGCTTGGTTATGCTCCCTAAACGTTAGGTCGTCGGACATCACTATTCCCAAATTCTTTGACATGCTGTTTTCCTACTACGGGCAGATTCGATTGTGTTTTGTACCCTGTATTATGTTTCAGATCCTCATTTTTGCCGTATCTGAGTACCTGGAATTTATCACCGTTAACCATCATGTTATTTTCTGCTGCCCAATCGAAAACCACAGGACTACCTTAAAGACACACAGGCCTATCTTACGGATACACAGGACTATCTTACAGATACATAGGACTCTGTCTTACAGATACACAGCACTCTATCTTACAGATACACAGGACTTTGCCTTTCAGATACACAGGACTCTGTCTTACAGATACACAGGACTCTGTCTTACAGATAGAGCCTCCAGTACAGTTCAAGGCCGGAGAAGAAGTCCGGTTGACAGAAATTCCATTAAAACTAACTGAGCCAGAAAAGGGGTTTCGAACCTGCATCCGTGGACGCCCATCACGTTCTTCTGATACCACTGTGCAGAACACTTATGTTTTAATTGTAACTATCACTTACCAGCGGAGGAAGTGTCGCCTCAGGAGGCTGAGAGTGTCTCGCTGTTCTACCATCCTGGTCCACACCCACACACGCCGTCAGTTTGGAGACGACGCCGCTGCTCACACTTAGGGCTATCATGTCCTCTGCAACATCCTCTGCAAGTGCAGACAATAAATCACGTAACACGTGGATAGTGAGGGGGGGGGGGGGCGACGCTAACACCTCCGTCGTGGACACCTGCCCACTTGACAGTGGTCCAGGAAGGAAAGAAACCTCGCCCCCCTGACAGTGGTCCAGGAAGGACAGAAACCTCGCCCACTTGACAGTGGTCCAGGGTAGGCAGAAACCTCGCCCCCTTGACAGTGGCCCAGGGTGGGCAGAAACCTCGCCCCCTTGACAGTGGTCCAGGGTGGGCAGAAACCTCGCCCCCTTGACAGTGGTCCAGGGTGGGCAGAAACCTCGCCCCCTTGACAGTGGTCCAGGGTGGGCAGAAACCTCGCCCCCTTGACAGTGGTCCAGGGTGGGCAGAAACCTCGCCCCCTTGACAGTGGTCCAGGGTGGGCAGAAACCTCGCCCCCTTGACAGTGGTCCAGGGTGGGCAGAAACCTCGCCCCCTTGACAGTGGTCCAGGAAGGAAAGAAACCTCGCCCCCTTGACAGTGGTCCAGGAAGGACAGAAACCTCGCCCCCTTGACAGTGGTCCAGGAAGGACAGAAACCTCGCCCCCTTGACAGTGGCCCAGGGTAGGCAGAAACCTCGCCCCCTTGACAGTGGTCCAGGGTGGGCAGAAACCTCGCCCCCATGACAGTGGTCCAGGGTGGGCAGAAACCTCGCCCCCTTGACAGTGGTCCAGGGTGGCCAGGAACCTCGCCCCCTTGACAGTGGTCCAGGGTGGCCAGAAACCTTGCCCCCTTGACAGTGGTCCAGGGTGGGCAGAAACCTCGCCCCCTTGACAGTGGTCCAGGGTGGGCAGAAACCTCGCCCCCTTGACAGTGGTCCAGGGTGGGCAGAAACCTCGCCCCCTTGACAGTGGTCCAGGGTGGACAGAAACCTCGCCCCCTTGACAGTGGTCCAGGGTGGGCAGAAACCTCGCCCCCTTGACAGTGGGGCAGGGTGGGCAGAAACCTCGTCCCCTTGACAGTGGTCCAGGAAGGAAAGAAACCTCGCCCCCTTGACAGTGATCCAGGGTGGGCAGAATCCTCCCTCCCTTGACAGTGGTCCAGGGTAGGCAGAAACCTCGCCCCCTTGACAGTGGTCCAGGGTGGGCAGAAACCTCGCCCCCTTGACAGTGGTCCAGGGTGGGCAGAAACCTCGCCCCCTTGACAGTGGTCCAGGGTGGGCAGAAACCTCGCCCCCTTGACAGTGGTCCAGGGTGGGCAGAAACCTCGCCCCCTTGACAGTGGTCCGGGGTGGGCAGAAACCTCGCCCCCTTGACAGTGGTCCAGGAAGGAAAGAAACCTCGCCCCCTTGACAGTGGTCCGGGGTGGGCAGAAACCTCGTCCCCTTGACAGTGGTCCAGGAAGGAAAGAAACCTCGCCCCCTTGACAGTGGTCCAGGAAGGAAAGAAACCTCGCCCCCTTGACAGTGGTCCGGGGTGGGCAGAAACCTCGCCCCCTTGACAGTGGTCCAGGAAGGAAAGAAACCTCGCCCCCTTGACAGTGGTCCAGGAAGGAAAGAAACCTCGCCCCCTTGACAGTGATCCAGGGTGGGCAGAATCCTCGCTCCCTTGACAGTGGTCCAGGGTAGGCAGAAACCTCGCCCCCTTGACAGTGGTCCAGGGTGGGCAGAAACCTCGCCCCCTTGACAGTGGTCCAGGGTGGACAGAAACCTCGCCCCCTTGACAGTGGTCCAGGGTGGGCAGAAACCTCGCCCCCTTGACAGTGGTCCAGGGTGGGCAGAAACCTCGCCCCCTTGACAGTGGTCCGGGTGGGCAGAAACCTCGACCCCTTGACAGTGGTCCAGGAAGGAAAGAAACCTCGCCCCCTTGACAGTGATCCAGGGTGGGCAGAATCCTCGCTCCCTTGACAGTGGTCCAGGGTAGGTAGAAACCTCGCCCCCTTGACAGTGGTCCAGGGTGGGCAGAAACCTCGCCCCCTTGACAGTGGTCCAGGGTGGGCAGAAACCTCGCCCCCTTGACAGTGGTCCGGGGTGGGCAGAAACCTCGTCCCCTTGACAGTGGTCCAGGAAGGAAAGAAACCTCGCCCCCTTGACAGTGGTCCAGGGTGGGCAGAAACCTCGCCCCCTTGACAGTGGTCCAGGGTGGGCAGAAACCTCGCCCCCTTGACAGTGGTCCAGGGTGGGCAGAAACCTCGCCCCCTTGACAGTGGTCCAGGGTGGGCAGAAACCTCGCCCCCTTGACAGTGGTCCAGGGTGGGCAGAAACCTCGCCCCCTTGACAGTGGTCCAGGGTGGGCAGAAACCTCGCCCCCTTGACAGTGGTCCAGGGTGGGCAGAAACCTCGCCCCCTTGACAGTGGTCCAGGGTGGGCAGAAACCTCGCCCCGTTTCAGACGTGACACTTGCTAGGAAGAAGGTGTATGCTCAGTTGGAAAAGAGAGCCGCCCAGATCCTAACGTCTGTCGTGTGGGAAAATTTGACTCAAGTAATTCATTTAAATTAATACTATTTTCGATAGCTACGAAGGACCACCACTTTTTGTGAAAAAGTGGAAAACTAAGTACAAGTGGCTAGATATTAATTCCAAGAACTAGTGTCCTTTGGATATTCTTAATTAAGAATGTATTGAATATTAAAGGGACTGTATGTAATGAGTCAAATTCACTCACCTAAAATGGGGGGTTACATGCTAAATGATTAGTATATCCCTATCATTATTCTGGCACTGGGTCTTCGCCAGAGTAAGTAATATGAATGTAAATGTAATTGGTAATATAATACTAATTAGAGGCAAATGAACCTCAATATACTACTGTAATATTGAATAGTATATGGACAAAGCAATAGGTTAGTAGAATTGATCTCAGTAGGAGATCATTAATGTAACTAAATTATTAATGTCTACTTCAAAAAAAGTTAACAGCTTAGCTGTAAATTAAGGGATGTGAAATCAGTTGCCACACTCCACTGATGACGTGTTGCGTCGGGGATATTGTTGCACGTGAAGGTGGGGAAGCCTAGCACCTCGGTTGACGTCGACTCGGGAGTGAAAGGCAATTACAATGTAGAAATCTTCTACATAAAACTAATAGACATATAGAATAATAAGGAATTCTTCCTAATATAATTTAAATATGTCGGACACTGTAAAATTCTTCTACAGACATTAATGGATATAAATTCCTACATAAATTACGGAATACGGCTAGAGAGTAAACGTACTGGATTCTTGTTGTAAATAAATGGCCTAACGACAACTAGTCTAAATGTTTTAACATGTGATCACAATGTTGCATAAAAGGTAATTAATAGTTGCCGGGCCAAGTGTCCGTTGGTCGAGGGAACGACTCCAAATTCCTCGTCTTGAACTACCGTTGCTGAGACGTCAACTACTGGCTGGAGAGTTAATTAGTTCCAGGACACTTCCGTTATGTGCTGTAATAATGTGGCACCGCTCTCGTGGTTGTGGGAGGGAATTAAATGACACTAAGCAAGTTCCTTTCAGTGGCGTCTCTCTGCACGAGTCTGTCACGCTGCCAAGTATGGCGTCGTCTACGCAAGTTTTTTTTTATTGACATATTTAAAAAACCAAAGTACAAAAACAGGGTAACAAGAGCAAAACAACAAATAATTACAAACAAACGTGCCTATAGCAAGCACCATGAAACGGACATAAAATACATACAAGGGTCACAGGAAAGCACAGGACAAGCAAAAAAAAAAAAACCACAAACAGCATGGGGCAGAAAATGCATATAATACACAACAAATAAATGACATAAGGACAATAACAAAAATGCACAAAAATTACAACAAATGCACAGAAGCCAACCGCCCCTAGAACAGAAAAGGGGAGTAAATGAAAACACAAGCTAGGGCAGTTTGACCCTGCACATAAGGGAGCATAACCGGACATAAATGAGGGCATCAAGAACATATTAGAACATAAATAACATAAATAACATAAAATATGTCCAAAGAATTAAGCAAGTACAGAGACAAAGAAATAACCACACGCACATACCAAAGGCAAAGCACAAAACAAACGCAAACACAACAAAACGGGCCACGCAGGAGCCAGGAACAGACACCCACACCACACACATCTGTGCACACAGGCACTGGGGAAACAACACGCACAACACAGACATAAACCAACCATACGAATCACTCATACTTCTCCGGGTACTCCCGAACCGAAAAACGTAAGCAATAAGCATCCCATATAAGTTGGTCGGCTTCAGCAAGCGGTCATCCAGGAGGCGCAGAAGGCTGAGGCATCAAATCCAGCACATCCAAGACGAAACACCGCGCCTGCGGAACCCAGATGGTAGATGGACACCAGGGAACAGGACGCACTAGGTCATCAAACTGAAAACACAGAGAAGTCGTAGATCTGTCGATCACCTCGCCGGACAGGAGGACGAAACGGGTGGGTTTCCTCGGAAGCACACCAGGCTGCACAGTGGCCGCACATCGGCCCGCCCACTAGGGCGCACACTCCGTTCGACGAGCTCCGCAGGCGCCCCAGAGCCCACATCATGCGGAACAGGAGCAGAGGCCTCCCGACACACATCCTTCAACAACACCACTACGAGGTCGCAGTCACCAGGGGCAACTGCCCAATGAGGAAGCCACCAGCAGGGGGCACAGCGTCCAACGCAGAAGGCACCACAGGAGGCGGCACAACGGCACCCATAGCATCATCATCCAGATCATCACGCTCTTCTGCCCACGTCCGGCGAGGTGACGCACCCCGAGCCGAACAACGGCGCTTAGAAATAGGCCGTTGATCGTCAGAACTGTCACCCCCTGCCAAGGAGACCAGATGCGGTGAAGCAAGAGACACAGCAGGCAGAAGGGTAGACTCCAGCACACTTGAGGTATCCAGTGAGGACGACGGAACCGGCACAGAAGAAGAGGCACTTGGTAACGAAGAAACTACAAGAGGCGACGAGGCAGAGGGCGGGGGCGGAGCCACACACACCCCCACCCCGACAGCCCCGGGAAGCACATGTCCGTCTGCAGGAGATGCAGGCACCACCCCAACAGCTCCAACCAATGCCCCCACGGAGCAACCGGCTGTGGATGCACCTCCACAACCACCGAACGTCGAAGGTCCGAAGCAGGTGTCCCTAGGTCCACAGAGCTCACCAGTGGGGCAGGAGGGCCAGACATATCAGGGCCAGATGGAGCGCCAGCTGGAGCCTCCGCAGGAACCACACTAGGCCCCTGTACAGAGCGAGGATCCGCCGGGAAATCCCCCACGCACAGAGAAGCAGGGAAAGTCACCCTCCAGGAAAACGGAAGGGGCCTCAGCACGAGGAGCGTCGCAACCGGCCGCTACGTAGCCCTCAACACCACACCGGAAACACGTGCGTGTTCGACCTTGATAAAAGGTCCGCATAGAGAGCCCACGAAACGAAACCCTGGATGGTATAGGGCTCGTGAGCCGCATGACGAGCATGCGTGTACCCAGCCGAACCCCCTTCAGCCGGCCTACACCCGAAATGTTGAACCGGTGCTTCACCACCGTCCCAAATCGCGTAAACAAAGACATGAGGACCTCCTCGGGGAAGGTCACCGGCACGTCGTGAACACTTACAAACGACAAGGGCCCCCAGGGACCCGAGATCTCCACAGACACAGCCGAAGCCGGAAGAGGAAGCGAGCATGCATCCCATCGAGCCACAAACTTCTGGTAAACATGTGACGTGGCAAACGATACCGCAACATGGGTAAGCGACAATTTCTTGAGTCCCAGCAGATCGGAGACGTCTACACGGAGCACGTCCAAGAGAGCAATTTCCACAATGGGCCAGTCCACAGCGACAGAAAAATCCATCTTCACAGTATCCACCCGGTGAATGCGGCTGGTGGTATCACCAGCCGCGGCCATACCGCCAGGCGGAGCCCCGACCAGCGGACGCCCCACACCTCCCACAGCAAACCACCACTCAGCAACAGCAAATGACGACTGACAGCTCAAGCCCGACGTCTGCACCCTCTGGCGGCGCCAGAGCAAAATGCGCAGAACGTTCATAGTATCCCGAGCTTAAAGTATTTCATTTACTCGTAGTTAATTGGTGAAGTAAGGAATTGTGACAAGTATTTATGTCACTGATAAATGTATTAAGGTGCAATATATTTTTGCATAGTGCAAGTCAGTTTATTAAGACTGAACAAAATATATGAATGGAATATTATATAAATTGTTTTTTTTTGTTGAAATATTTTCCACTGTATTTATTAATTCACATAAATAAGCGAGTTCCGTAAGCAATGATATGCTATATAAAATAAAACAACTAAATGAACGATTATCCTTAGTAAAGGAACGTAAATAACACGACTCTGTTTAGATTCAACTAAATGTGGAGAAATTGATGTTTTAGCCAGTCGCTACCTCCCGGCGTCATTCAGACTAGGTAGGATTTGGTAAAATATTGCCTTACAATAGAAACATTATTTGGATTAATTCTACAAATTAGTAGTGTTAGTAATTACTATGGTTAATACAATAAGGATGTATTATTATACAAAAAATGTTGTATTAGTGTTGGATAATTTCAAACATGTCGTGTGCAACAGTCGTATAATGAAGTTCTATTGCTGTTGCAACACCCCCGCACTGATTTCTCCCTCTGTGCTTGATTTGCAGCGGTTGTTTCTGTTCCCTGGGGAAGTTTCTTTGTGATTTCCTGCAACGGGACCTCTTGCAGTGCAACCACCGCCGGTGCTGTTGCATGCCATTGCAGGTTGTTGCAGGGAGTAACAATAAAATATAGACGTAAACCGCTCTCCCTCCCAGATTGCATAGCTACTGGTCCATGTTGCTAGTGAACCAATTGGAGCATTCCAACAGTACAAACGTGAGTGATTTGTAGGGGATGCAACAGTCTATCTTTGTACGTTTGTTGAGTCGTTAGTTCATTCCACTCTACAATATACTATATACAGTAATATACAATATAAAAGTACTATTTATAGTACGATACTCTTACCCTCATCATCAAGCGTCCACTGGTTGATTTGTGCACGCGCTGCCAGACGATGGAGACTCATTTCTGTGTCGTGAACAATGACGACGTCACTGCAAGAGATGCTCTCGCTCTGCTCGACATCCCCAACCTTGCCCGAGATGCTGATTGACTTCACCTGTACACCAGTACATACATATGTTCACCTGACTGACACGTGAAGGATAAATAATATTGTGTAAGCATTCTAGATGGTTTATTATCAGTTCCGTAAGTGAAGGGAATTGCTTAAGAAGTTATAAGCTCCAGACTGGATTCAACTATGGGTATATTGTTAGCTTTGTTCTTGTTTCAGATTTAGCTACTCAGGACGAAGTGTCCATGTAGCACAGGCTATGGTGAGCCCGTATATTGTTATCTCTTCAAGTGAGTTTAAATATGAGAGCCAACGTAGTGTTGAGCACTTGTTCCCACCTTACAGTGTGGTGTTGAGCACTTGCTCCTACCTTACAGTGTGGTGTTGAGCACTTGTTCCCAACTTACCGTGTGGTGTCGAGCACTTGTTCCCACCTTACAGTGTGGTGTTGAGCACTTGTTCCCACCCAACAGTGTGGTGTTGAGCACTTGTTCCCACCCTACAGTGTGGTGTTGAGCACTTGTTCCCACCCTACAGTGTGGTGTTGAGCACTTGTTCCCAACTTACCTTGTGGTGTTGAGCACTTGTTCCCTCCTTACAGTGTGGTGTTGAGCACTTGTTCCCTCCTTACAGTGTGGTGTTGAGCACTTGTTCCCACCTTACAGTGTGGTGTTGAGCACTTGTTCCCACCCTACAGTGTGGTGTTGAGCACTTGTTCCCACCCTACAGTGTGGTGTTGAGCACTTGTTCCCAACTTACCTTGTGGTGTTGAGCACTTGTCCCCTCCTTACAGTGTAGTGTTGAGCACTTGTTCCCTCCTTACAGTGTGGTGTTGAGCACTTGTTCCCACCTTACAGTGTGGTGTTGAGCACTTGTTCCCTCCTTACAGTGTGGTGTTGAGCACTTGTTCCCTCCTTACAGTGTAGTGTTGAGCACTTGTTCCCTCCTTACAGTGTGGTGTTGAGCACTTGTTCCTACCTTACAGTGTGGTGTTGAGCACTTGTTCCTTCCTTACAGTGTGGTGTTGAGCACTTGTTCCCTCCTTACAGTGTAGTGTTGAGCACTTGTTCCCTCCTTACAGTGTGGTGTTGAGCACTTGTTCCCACCTTACAGTGTGGTGTTGAGCACTTGTTCCCTCCTTACAGTGTGGTGTTGAGCACTTGTTCCCTCCTTACAGTGTGGTGTTGAGCACTTGTTCCTACCTTACAGTGTGGTGTTGAGCACTTGTTCCCACCTTACAGTGTGGTGTTGAGCACTTGTTCCCACCCTACAGTGTGGTGTTGAGCACTTGTTCCTTCCTTACAGTGTGGTGTTGAGCACTTGTTCCCAACTTACAGTGTGGTGTTGAGCACTTGTTCCCACCTTACAGTGTGGTGTTGAGCACTTGTTCCCTCCTTACAGTGTGGTGTTGAGCACTTGTTCCCTCCTTACAGTGTAGTGTTGAGCACTTGTTCCCTCCTTACAGTGTGGTGTTGAGCACTTGTTCCCACCTTACAGTGTGGTGTTGAGCACTTGTTCCCACCCTACAGTGTGGTGTTGAGCACTTGTTCCCAACTTACCTTGTGGTGTTGAGCACTTGTTCCCAACTTACCTTGTGGTGTTGAGCACTTGTTCCCTCCTTACAGTGTGGTGTTGAGCACTTGTTCCCACCTTACAGTGTGGTGTTGAGCACTTGTTCCCTCCTTACAGTTTGGTGTTGAGCACTTGTTCCCTCCTTACAGTGTAGTGTTGAGCACTTGTTCCCTCCTTACAGTGTGGTGTTGAGCACTTGTTCCTACCTTACAGTGTGGTGTTGAGCACTTGTTCCCTCCTTACAGTGTGGTGTTGAGCACTTGTTCCCTCCTTACAGTGTAGTGTTGAGCACTTGTTCCCTCCTTACAGTGTGGTGTTGAGCACTTGTTCCCACCTTACAGTGTGGTGTTGAGCACTTGTTCCCTCCTTACAGTGTGGTGTTGAGCACTTGTTCCCTCCTTACAGTGTGGTGTTGAGCACTTGTTCCCACCTTACAGTGTGGTGTTGAGCACTTGTTCCTACCTTACAGTGTGGTGTTGAGCACTTGTTCCTACCTTACAGTGGTGTTGAGCACTTGTTCCCACCTTACAGTGTGATGTTGAGCACTTGTTCCCACCCTACAGTGTGGTGTTGAGCACTTGTTCCCTCCTTACAGTGTGGTGTTGAGCACTTGTTCCCAACTTACAGTGTGGTGTTGAGCACTTGTTCCCACCTTACAGTGTGGTGTTGAGCACTTGTTCCCTCCTTACAGTGTGGTGTTGAGCACTTGTTCCCTCCTTACAGTGTAGTGTTGAGCACTTGTTCCCACCCTATAGTGTGGTGTTGAGCACTTGTTCCCACCCTACAGTGTGGTGTTGAGCACTTGTTCCCACCTTACAGTGTGGTGTTGAGCACTTGTTCCCTCCTTACAGTGTGGTGTTGAGCACTTGTTCCCACCTTACAGTGTGGTGTTGAGCACTTGTTCCCTCCTTACAGTGTGGTGTTGAGCACTTGTTCCCACCCTACAGTGTGGTGTTGAGCACTTGTTCCCTCCTTACAGTGTGGTGTTGAGCACTTGTTCCCACCCTACAGTGTGGTGTTGAGCACTTGTTCCCACCCTACAGTGTGGTGTTGAGCACTTGTTCCCACCTTACAGTGTGGTGTTGAGCACTTGTTCCTCCTTACAGTGTGGTGTTGAGCACTTGTTCCCACCTTACAGTGTGGTGTTGAGCACTTGTTCCCTCCTTACAGTGTGGTGTTGAGCACTTGTTCCCACCCTACAGTGTGGTGTTGAGCACTTGTTCCCTCCTTACAGTGTGGTGTTGAGCACTTGTTCCCACCCTACAGTGTGGTGTTGAGCACTTGTTCCCACCCTACAGTGTGGTGTTGAGCACTTGTTCCCACCTCACAGTGTGGTGTTGAGCACTTGTTCCCACCTCACAGTGTGGTGTTGAGCACTTGTTCCCACCTTACAGTGTGGTGTTGAGCACTTGTTCCCACCCTACAGTGTGGTGTTGAGCACTTGTTCCTACCTTACAGTGTGGTGTTGAGCACTTGTTCCCACCTTACAGTGTGGTGTTGAGCACTTGTTCCCACCTCACAGTGTGGTGTTAAGCACTTACAGTGGTGGCAGAGGGCACCCAAGCATACTTACAATGGTGACAGAGTGCTCCAGGGCATACATACAGTGGTGACAGATGGCACCAGGGCATACATACAGTGGATACAGAGGGCACCAGGGCATACTTACAGTGGTGACAGAGGACACCAGGGCATACTTAGTGGTGGCAGAGGGCACCAGGGCTTACTTACAGTGGTATCAGAGGGCACCCAAGCATAATTACAGTGAAGGCAGAGGGCACCCAGGCATACTTTACAGTAGTGACAGAGGGCACCCAAGCATATTTACAATGGTGGCAGAGGGCACCCAAGCATATTTACAATGGTGGCAGAGGGCACCCAAGCGTACTTACAGTGGTGGCAGAGGGCACCAGGGCATACTTACAGTGGTGACAGAGGGCACCAGGGTATACTTATAGTTTTGGCAGAGGGCACCCAGGCATACTTACAGTGGTGACAGGTCACCCAGGCATACTTACAGTGGTGACAGAGGCCACCCAAACATACTTACAGTGGTGACAGGTCACCCAGGCATACTTACAGTGGCGACAGAGGCCACCCAAGCATACTTACAGTGGTGACAGGTCACCCAGGCATACTTACAGTGGTGGCACAGGGCACCCAGGCATACTTACAGTGGTGACAGCGGGAACCCAAGCATACTTACAGTGGTGGCAGCGGGCCCCAGGGCATACCTACAGTGGTGGCAGAGGGCACCCAGGCATACCTACAGTGGTGACAGAGGACACCAGGGCATACTTACAGTGGTGGCAGAAGGCACCAGGGCATACTTACAGTGGTGACAGAGGGCACCAGGGCATACTTACAGTGGTGACAGGTCACTCAGGCATACTTACAGTGGCGACAGAGGGCACCCAGGCATACTTACAGTTGTGACAGAGGGCGCCCAAGCATACTTGCAGTGGTGGCAGAGGGCACCAGGGCATACTTACTGTGGTGACAGAGGGCACCCAAGCATACTTACAGTGGTGACAGAGGGCACCAGGGCATACTTACAGTGGTGACAGAGGGCACCGGGGCATACTTACAGTGGTGACAGCGGGCACCCAAGCATACTTACAGTGGTGGCAGAGGGCACCCAGACATACCTACAGTGGTGACAGAGGACACCAGGGCATACTTACAGTGGTGGCAGAGGGCACCAGGGCATATTTACAGTGGTGACAAAGGGCAACAGGGCTTACTTACAAATGAGGCAGAGGGAACGAAGGCATACTTACAGTGGTGACAGAGGACACCCAAGCATAATTATAGTGGTGGCAGAGGCCACCAGGTGTCGGAAATCCGACACATATGTCAGCATACTATAGTTACACCATTAGAAACGTAAAGAAAATGGGAGATTCCGTGACGTCATCACAATAAGACGTCCATTCACCCACGTATATATATTTAACTCCGATTATTCTTTTATACCACAGCTAGTCTAGTGTTTAAACTTATTAAACAAATGTTCAAAAGGGCTGGATATAATATAATTAGCAATAAAAATACTCTACAGACTCCCTTGCTATTGTTAAATAAAATTAGTCCTTACGTCAGAGTATTGGAACATGGCTTGGGGAGGGTGCAGTTCTAGCCGCGCTCTCACACACAGATGTAAACAAAGTAAGAGGAGGCAGTATGTCTCTGTGAGGAAGCAGGGCGAGTCATTGTCTCATAACACAGGAAGGGGGCAGAATGCCTCCTAAAAGTAGGCATATGCGGCATTGCAGATGTCTGAAATGAGACAGCTCAACAGCGATCCAGCCACTGCGACCTCTACATCAACCATAAGAGCACTTGAGTATCCGACTTGTATTAGTTCTAGATTTACGAGGCCTTTTAAATTTAGATATAAACTTGCCTGTTATGAGAGGGTTTAAAGCCCAAACAAAGTGAGTCAAGCTCAGCACTACACACACAAATAT